CTACCTTCTTCATGATTGGATTGAGTATTCTTTGAGGTTCCACTGAAGTGCTATGGCTATATTCAAGGTTAATTTTGTGCATGCCTATAGTTGGACTGATTCCCTTCAAGTCTGCCATTGTCCATTCGAGAGCTTTTCTGTGATGTGACAAAATATTCAATAAACTATTCTCCTGTTCAGAGGTTAGGTTGGCAGAAATTATCACTAGTATAGTTTCATCAACTCTTAGATAATCATATTTCAAATGTGATGGAAAAGGTTTAAATTCCAGTTTCGGTGTATGTTGCAAGGATGACTCTATAGACCTTACTTCATCATATTCTAAGGGTTCGAATTTCATACCTGATCTATTATGAAGAAGTCTCGATTGATCCTTTGTCTCTCTTCCATATCATGCATTGGTATCAATTGCTGGGCGTTCCTTATTCAAATTTTTGTTGTCAGGGCCATGAATTTCTGATTCCTCTTCTGAGTTTAATTCGCTTGGGCCAAATGTATCTTGTTCATGCATCTCGGTTGTAGGGTCATTATACAAAGCGATGTATTCATCGAGTATTCTCCTCGACTTCTCTAATGCATTGGCACTCTTCTGAATCGTCCACATATTTCATGGAATTGAATACATTGACGGTGACACTTTGCTCTCCTACTCACATTATGAACTCTCCCTTTTCATAATCTATTAGGATTCTCCCAGTGGCTAAAAATGGTCGTCCCAGGATAATCGGGGCATTTTCATCGGCTTTGAAATCCAGGATATGGAAATCAACTGGAAAGAAAAATTTATCCACCTTTACGATGACGTCCTCTATTCTGCCCTCTGGCCGCATATATGACCGATCGACTAGTTGTAAGATGACTGAGGTTGGGCAGGCATGATACCCGTCTAGATTCATAAATATGGACTTTGGTATTTGATTACTGATTTCTTTACTGTGATAAATCATGATTGTCCTTCCTATTGAACAAAACGCACACTTCGTCGTACATGACTTGTCATGGAATATTATGAGATCTATGACTACAAGTAATTCACCAGTTCCTATGACTAGAATATTACTAAACCGTTATCAACCGACCAATAGGGCAACGGCATCTCCATCTCCATCTTCATCTTCATCTTCATCTTCAATGCTATCAATCTCGAATTGCAACGCTAGATTATTTTCTTGCAAATATTTTCTTGTATAGTGCCTGAAAAAGCATGAGGTACTAGTCCAGTTTCCAGATTATCCGGAGATCCATCAATGATGACAATAGAAGTGGAATCATTCTCTAGTTGTTCAGGAAACAGCCTCAACCTTTCACGTAATGTTGCGCTTTAGCACAAACTTATGACATGGAGTGTGTCTCTGATTGAACCTGCCTGGAAGCATAGGTCGAGTTTTATAGAAATCTCCACAAAGATCAAATCCCATTTTCTCTGTACAATCCTTGCATCTGTATCTATCCCCAACAATCGGACACATCTGCCAGCACAAATTTGAGCAGTATTGGACTTACTATAAGAGAATCTAACAGTACAAGCGATGACAATTATACCGTAGAAAAAAAATATCAATTAGTCTAGCAAAGCAATGCAAAGAAATAATAAACTCCATCTTTATGCACTAGGTCAGGTGAAAATGTTGCTTGAAAAGCTCTAAACAAAATCCAACAAACACTGAATCAAAAAGCAATAGAGAGCAACTTATCCATTATAGGACCCTCTTTAAGCAATAAAATGTCCTCAATACAAATTTTCAGAGTTCAATGCCCGGAAACTATTGACGGGATTAACTAAGGAGTGTTGAAAAAGAAGAATAGACACTGGCAAAACAAGCATGTACACACACACACACATACTTGCACTCTGCATTTCCATTAGTGATTAGACTACTTGCAAGCAATTTTCGTTAGAAAAGAATAAAAATTGTTATGAGAAAAAATAAAGGTTGACATGTTTTTTTTCCCTGATAAATAGGTAGGCCTCATTAAAACCCCCCTTCATATCCGTCAAGCAACAAGAGTGTCTCAACGGACATTGGAAGGAAGAAAAGAGTGCCTTAAAATTTTATTGCATAAGTACCAAGTACAAGAAGAGTACAATACCACCAAACCCATTGACAACCATCTCAACAATGAGCTACAATACACTACCTAAACACAGCAGTGACCATACCCAACTCAAAAACTATCTCCTAAAAACATTCGACCAAATGCAAACATAACACAATTACCAAAAATGCCAACAAACCACAATACAATAAACTTAATGCAACAAATAAATCCCATCCAATTAGCCTATCCCTGGCTTAGCAAATTCATCCGCTTCCCAGTTAACTGCTCTCAACACATGCTTTAAAATATTGTAGAATGAGCTATGTTATTTATGGGAATGAAATGAGAAAACAAAAGACAACTATGAGCATGCATGAAACCAAAACATTTGAACTTTAAAGAAGAAAGTAAGCAACATATTTACCCCACAAGCATCAGAACCAGCTCCTACATGAGTATAGCGATGGGGCTTTACTTCTGAGGGCAACAGGACCGGTGAGATATCTCTTTTACTAGGTTCCATGGAACCTGAGAATTCAAACATAATAACTAGTTTAAAATTATGGACTCAAAGTTGATGCAGCATTATTATAGCACGATCAGTCAATCAGACTCTTTTTAAGATTGATTTTGCCAACATGAATGACTAAGAAATTCAGTATATATAGGATATTGAATTAGTAATCATGTGCTTCAGTTTTAAGCTTAACAAAAAAAAAAAAAAAGACCAATCAGCAGGAAAAAGGATGGAACCGAAAATATAATTCAGCTAAATACTAAATCAAACGAAATGTTGATAGACCTAGAACAAGATGGGACCGTGGAAAATTGAGACATACAAGTGGATGGTCCCTCATGCTTGCAAGAAGCTTGTTTGAACTGAATAGTATCTTTTCTCAGTGCATACTCATTGGGAAATTTAGCCACCAAAAAGTGATCAAGTGTCGAGCAGACTTTCGGAAAACCCCTTGGATACATTGACAAACTTGACACCTAAGCATCTCATCAGCAGGGATACCGATGCATGTTTGACAAGAAACTGAGAAAGAATAAAGATAAGTCATAAATAACAGGAAATTGAGGCTCAGTGATGCTAATGTAAAGATAGAAACAATTGTAGAGGAATACCATGTCCGCAGTTAAGAACAATAGGATGGAAAAGCAGTTTCTTGCACGTAGTACACAGTACATCAGCAACTGAAATCTGATCATTTTCCTTCCGGGAAACATGAGGCTCTATCTGTCCATCTGGTTCATTAAGTTCCTCTTTGCTGGTAGAAGAGTCAGAAATATTAGAAGACTTTGACGAGCTTCCAAGGTGATTAATTTATCCATCAGCATCTGATTCACATGCATAACCACTGAATTCCGGCGAAAAGCAGGCAAAATTCATCAACATAAAAAAATTATGAAATTCATAGTTCTTTCTATAAAAGTAGCAAAGGAAAATCTTACGCAGAACTATTGGTTTGTAAAGAAGATCCCTGCAATTTAAAAAATAGTTTTGGTAATTTTTAAAAAATCAAATAAAAAAGAACAAGATAGCGAGAAACATTGAAATTATTTGAAGTAATGATTATTACTTACAGACAAACGCAACAAACGAAATCGTCAGGAATTTCTTCAGCATCATGGGACAAGTTTGGGATTGGGAGGAATCCATTGAATTCCCTTCCAGTCGGTAATGAGGTGGCAAAATACCAAATCAGCAACTCCTCCAACTTTCTTTTTCACCCTCACCAATTAACCATTTCTCTATTCTAGATGCTCATTCCACGTCATACATATTGTTTCGACGAACAAAGTAATTCCACGTCATATTGTTTTGACGGACAAGCTAATTCCACTTTAAATTTTATAAAATTTATTAATTAAAACGTAACAAAATTAAAAATAATATCAAATTGATTTGAGTTTCTATTAAAATTATCAATGACATTTACTAAAATAATTATTTTAGTTTATATTTATTAAAAGTATTTTCATCTTAATATTTTATTTTAAGAATAAATAATGTGAAAATTGTTTGTCAATAGTGATCAAACCTTTAAAATATGTCTTTTTGTCTAAAACGAAATATTAGAAAACCAAAATACTACAAAAATAAAGATTAAAGTGCCTACTTAAACAAAAGTTAAAAGTTCTTTTTGCTTAAAATGAACAGTTGGAGGTAAGATGCCCTTAAAAAAAATAAGGGTTAAATAAATTTTTAATCAAATATTAATAATATTTTTTATTAATATAAGGGATTACAAGTGATAGTATTTGTCTTAAATAAGAGTTAAATAAATTTTTAATCAAATTGATTTTTTTAAATTAATGATTGTTATTATGTCCTACTTTAAACTTTTGGAAAGTTTTACTGTAAGGTGATCTTAATATACGTCAATACGGTTAAGGAAATATGATATTAGTTTTTTTAATAAAATCGGTAAAAATTACCACAAATATTATTATTTTTATCTAAAATATTATTGAGCGTTTTACCGATCTTGGTAATATATACGGTAAAGTATTATCTAAAACATTATTTTTTTTATCGGATATATTACCAAACCCGGTAAAACGCCAAATAATAACATTTCTAATATAAATAATAACGTTTTCGATAATTTTTTATTAATTTTATTAAAAAAATAATAATAAAATCAATAATATATTTCTTTAATTGTATATTAAATGCTGCACGTGAGACTACCCTAAACTTATCCGTGCTTTCATAACATCCCGTTAAAATTGTTGTAACTGAAAATTCTAAATTTAGAATCGTGGTTGCTGATCCTTTTGATAAAAAATATTAATTATAATAAAATGCAACTTGTAAATTTTAATTGCCTAAGACAAGCTCTATCATCGCGCACGCGCGGACTGTTTACAGCGTGGACAACATGTCTGGTTTTATTTCCCACGTATGACTAATCATTACCATTTAGAAACAGTAAATCAATGCGTGTCAAAAAATGAGTGGACAGTACTTTCAAGAAGGTAATAGAAGAGCGCGAAACCAAACCCGGGGTACTGGCAAATATCTGGGGCCCAAACCCGATTAACCCGACCGCCCAACTATAAAAGCAACTCCCACGTCCAGATTTCGTTTTCACCCAAAGGGCTTAAAGAAAAGAAGAGGAACAATAGTTCCGCGATTTCGCCCTTTCCTCTCGGGTTCAGTTTCATTACCAAAACTAGTTTGAAATTCAAATGTATATTCATTTTTCTAGTTGTGTTTTTGGGTTGAAACAATATTGTTTAATTATATATGTTTTGTGTCTCTTCCGATTCGATTTTGTATCTCTTTAGATCGTGTGATCGCAAAAAGCGTTGTGATCTCCAATTATTGAGAATTATAAGGCCATGACTTATCTCGAGTGAAACTTATAGGCTTTTAATTTATGATGTGTGATTATATGATTAATTAGCTGTTTTAGGTTTGAAATTCTGATATTTTAAAAGATAAATACAAGAAATTTGCCCTTGTTTAGCACGAATGAATGTATTGGGATCTGGTTAAAGAGGCAGTTAAAATTATTTATAAACGGAAAGCCTTGTGAAGTAAAAAAGGTGATATATTTGTCTTTCATTTGATTATAATTTTTGCTTGTAAATTTTGTCTCCCTGATCTGTTTGGACAGGTCATCTGCGTCGGTTCCATCAGAGGGTGCAATAATTCTTTTCCCTTCCTTTCCTAGCAAGAGCGTTAATAGCGTGACCTGCAGGCATTGCTGAGGTATCTAATTCTCCTCATTTGGTTCAACTTTTGTTTGATTCTTTGCTTTGTTATATTTTTCTTTGCATTTTTTCTGTTAGTATGCTTTCCCAGGATTTTACTTTTGCATCTGTTTTTTAGTATGCTTTACAAGGATTTTATTTAGTTGGTAAATGTTCTGTGAACTAATTGAGACTTTGAATTGATGAGAGGAGGGCCATAATGTTACCTTGAATGTGTACGACTTGAGCCAAGGACTTGCTCGGCAGCTTTCAACGACCTTGTTAGGGAAGGCTATTGAGGGAATATGGTAAGCGTTTAGTTTTAAGGGGAAAGATTGTTTCTTGATGTGAGATTTTTTATTGAAGTCTAAAATTTTCTTAACTATGTTTATTATAATGTATCTTACATCTTAAGTATTCATTAAGAAAAATTTCTCAAGTATGTTTCATTTGTAGGATTTTGTTGGTAGTTTTGCGTTTTTACCAGTTTTGTTTCTTTGAACTAGACAGTATCTGATTTTGACTCGTGATATGCTGCATCTTCGTTTCAATACCGGCTATGTTGGGCCTTATTAGTGAATGTTATTGTTATTCATTTGACGTTTTTCGCACATCGTGTTAATCCTGGCCGGAAACTTATTTTTTATGGTTATCTATGTTCTGTCCCTCCTTTTTGTTGTAGTTATTCTACTTCTCCTTGTCGCATCAAGTCTTCCACCTCCCATTGTATACATGGAAATGGAATTGGGTTTACAGTTGCATTGCTTGTTACGCATTTGCTGAGTTAGGTTTATTCATTTTTTGTTTGCTTGATAGGCACACTGGAGTTGTGGTTTATGATAAGGAATACTATTTTGGTGGAGGAATCCAACATGCTCCTGTTGGGACAACACCATACGGGAAACCGATTAGAGTAATCAATTTAGGAGTCACTCATGTGCCTGAGGATGTGTTTGAGATGTATTTGCAGGAGATTAGTCCTCGTTACACGGCTGAGACCTACAGTTTGCTCACCCACAATTGCAACAACTTCAGCAATGAGGTTGCCCAATTTCTAGTCGGTTCCGGTATTCCGGACTATATCTTGCAGCTGCCTAATGAAGTTATGAGCAGTCCCATGGGTGCACTTTTAAGTAAGTTATTATCTGCTCTTAAATTTTACTTCATTCCTGTGTCAGATATGCTGTAGGGACATCGTCATTAACCTATTTCATGTTAATTATAGTGGATTAATGTGTTTTAGCATTTTTTTTATAGTGCGGGATTAGCTTAACTAGTCCCTTCAATCCAAAAATAGTGATTTGTTATTTCCAATAATTTTCTTTTCGTCTTGCGTGAAAATTATCAAAATAACATGCTTGATAAAATAAAATTTTATTTTATCCCTTGATGAATGTGATCCATTCTGTTAGGCAGATGCTTTCTTTCTTTCCATGGCCCAAGTGAATGGTTTTTGGTATCAGACTTGTTAAATACTCTACCCTTTTTTGTACAGTGCCCATGATACAGAATTTGGAGACAACCTTGAGAGCTGGTGCTGTTCCTCAAGTTCCCCAATTTACCCCTTCTGTATCTGGTCAGTCATCTCGGTCCACAACTGCCAACGTGAACGGGCCATCCAATACCACACAGAAAAAAGAGGTTGAGAATAAAGTGAAGGCTGGGGAGAAGCCGAAATCCGAGGAAGTCAAGCCAACACCACCTTCTAAACCGACTGGAGCTGGCGGAGCTGCAGCAGACCCTCTTGGAGATGCACGAGCCAAGGTCCAAGAGGAGATAACACGTGAATTTGCCGCCATTATGGCGACCGGAACATTGCGAGCTAGTGAGGCAGCAGCACTGGCGACTAGAAAAGTGATGCAGAAATACGGGCATTTGAATGTTGCCTTGCCACAGAGTTAGAAGCAGGAAAGATGTAAGAGAAACTTTGTTTTCTTGAGCAGCCATATACCTTGGATGTTTGGATTCGGACATCCAACGAAGAATTGAAATCATTTTATAATAATGATTCGACTTCATTAAGAAAATGATTTGAATCTTTCCAAATTTAAATTTAATTATGGGAATGTGGTTGCGATGAGTCAGTAGCCTTTTTTTTGGGGGGGGGGGGGGTGGGTTTCACGCTATGAATTCCACTGTATGCAACCAAGTACTATTCAACTCTATCCACTTTCACCAATATAGTGGACATTATTAAAATAAGTATTTAAATCTAGAATGCTAAATGAAGTGTTTTCATAAAAATTAAAAACTAATCATTTATATAGTTAAAAGTTATCAAAAATTGTTTCAAAAATATAATAATAATAATAATAATAAAGTGGTGTTAAATTGGAAATGAGTTTTTGAGGATGTTGTTTTGATTAAAATATAGAAGGTTATGCAAAACCCTGCTTAAACTTTTGGAAAGTTTCAAAAATTTTAGAAGCCTAAACTTAAATTTTAAGAAAAAGATATTCTAAATAAGAAATAAAAAAATTAAAAAGGATTTAAATAAAAAATACAAAAGATATAACTTTACTAGAATTTAAAAAAAATAGTCCACATTAACTCTTTTTTAAAAAAATAGAGACCAAATAGTAATTTTCCAATTTTTGGGGCCAGACCCCCACTATCCCTCAATACCGAGCCTTGCCTACAGGGCTTTTATTTGACTTGCTGGGAGTTGCACCCGTGTTTCCCTATTAGTAATTTGCCTAATTTCCTTGTTATATCAGAAAATTTTAAGTAGCATAACAAATACAACAACAAAAATGCTTTTAAACAACAACGTACCAAAATGTTAATTACTTCTCAATTAAAATAACCATGACTCCATAGAATCCACATCATCCAAATTTAAGGTAAAATCTTAATACAACTGTCAATTGTCCCTAAAAGTTGCTTCAATCAAAATATACAAGGACTAAATTTATTAAAAATTGAATAGAGAAAGGGACAAAATCAATAGAACAATAAAGATTCAAACTTCAACCTGAAAACAATATATGCTCGATAGAATTAACATGATGTTAGTCAAATTGTTTCTTCCCGAGGTAATGGTGTATGCTCCTGATTAGTTAAACTAATATTTCCATTCTCTAATTCAACGGTACCTTCTTTAGCTCTACAAAAAACATCAGTAGGGATGTTCATTCCTGCAAAACCGATCATCACGGCCGCAGCTCCCAGGTAATCCAAGAGATGAGGACCATTGCCGATTATCATATCAACAATTGCCGCCAATGGCACTTGGATAGCAAGACCAGCAGTTGCTACTGTTGCTGTGGTAAGAAGAACAGCTTTTGCCCATAAATAATCATTCAGCACATTGTCCAACAAGCCTATGCATGATGCAGTAAGAGATAATATCAGGTACGAAAATTGTGTCAAAGATAAGGATACAATAAACTGGAGTTCATTGCACAAAGACGAAGTTCATGTGCTTGGAGAACGCATTGAAAATGGTGGTAGATAAAGATAATATGCATTTAGTCATGCACCTTTTGTTTTATTAAAGCCCAACATATTAGGTAGATAAATTTAACAATTTCATCAGTTAAGAGGAGAAAGTAACTGCAAGCCAAAATAAAATACAAACCTTTTCCTATAATCAGGCCAAACTGCTTCCAGGATAGTGTGTTGAGAGACTCTAGCTTGGTGAAATGGAGTATAAGAGCAAAAGGAAGGAATAATAATACGTTGAAAAACCCTAGAAACCCAGGAATTGTGCCATGCTCGCGCGGCCACTCTTTTCATCATTATCGGGTAACTTTTTACGAATAAGTGTAACATATACAGCATAGAGAGCTGCTGCGACAAGAGCCAGAACGTCTCCAAGAACAGGGTTTGAAGCAATTATTCTTAAATTCTTGTTGTTGTGTGAGTCCCCCAAGCTGACAATAATGGTTCCTGTCATGCAAAGAAGGACACTTACAAGCTTTATCCAACTGAACTTCTCACCCAAGACTGCCAAAGAGACCAAAAATGTGAAAATGCTTGATGCACTGCTCAAGACGGTGTTGGACTGCAGATGACAAAGGAAAGTAAATTATCTGATATATCTGAGAAAGAACATGTGTAGAATCTGAACTTATGCAATCATTGCAAATATGCATTATGCGCACCGTTACAGTCGTGTACTTCAATGAGAGATCAAAAGCCAGTTGCGCCAGAAACCAAAATGGGCATACTGACAGGCTAACTTTAGCCACTCTGGTACGTGTCCATCGCCCTTTTGCATCTAAGCCAACATTGGCAACCTCACCTTGACTAGGCAAAGTAGTAGTAAGATCATCGGAAACTTTTTCAAACAGCGAACCATTCAAGATCTCGTGATTAATTTCCCCCTCTTCTGCAAGTGAGAATTGACTTGATCCATCTGCTCTTGAACCTAAACCACCCTCTCCAAGAAGGATAGCTTGCTCCGATTCTGTCATCTCCTCTAAAGGGCTGCTGCTTGAATTTCTTCGGAACAATAAACTTCCACAATTATCTTCTAGATACCGCCCGATCTCAACCAAGGGAATATAAACAATGAATAATGAATTGCAAATGTATGTTATAAGAAATGGAGAAACACCTGCATCAACGACAGACTGTACCACAAAACTAGCAGCTATCCATATAGCGGCAACAGCAAATATGTAAAGCAAACCTAAACCCCATCTCCATTCGAAGCCATTGTTGGGAAATAAACCAAGTACAACTAATTTCCCTATAGTTAGATTAGTGAGAATACGAAATAAAAGCGGAAAAATAATACCCGAAATTGATAACGGAGTTCAACCAATTGTGCTTACGTCTCCGGACTGCTGCATATCTTTTATTAAGAGAGAAAATTTACAGGTGTTTACAAAACACTCACTACTCACAATAAAGCTCTCTAGTATTGGGAGAAAGAAATGATTTTTGGGATGGTTTTGAAGCTAAATGAGCTAGGGTATTTATAGTTGAAACTTAAGGACTAATCTTGTAATTACCCTAAAATACAATGTCTAAATGTGATTTATCCATTATTATTTTCAACAAATGTTCTGCCAACCCATTGAAATTTTGCACCATTCGGTGCCTACCCTTCCTACATTTGAATTTGTTAATTTCATTTAGAAATTTAGGCGGTGCCCACCGTCATTGACTTTACAATCTCCCACTTGAAGACTGATTTTAATCTGTCTTCACACCTTGATCAATGCAGCAGCATTTCTGGTCTCGTTATTCTAGCATGCCAACTGAAGCTGAACACAACTTCAGTTTTTCCGTGGTCACCGTCTTTGTCAACATGTCTACCGGATTTTGAGCACCACTAATCTTTTCAAGTTTCAAAATCCCATCTTCCAGAAGAGACCGGATAAAATGATATCTCAATTGTATGTGCTTCGTTCTGGAATGAAAATACGGATTTTTTGCTAGATGGATAGCACTTTGACTGTCGCAATATAATACATTGTTTTCTTGTATCTTGCCTAACTCTTCTAAGAAACTTTGGAGCCAAACCATCTCCTTGCTGGCTTCCGTAACAGCGACATATTCTGCTTCGGTTGTGGAGAGAGCAACTATCTTCTGTAGTTGAGAAACCCAACTCACTGCAGTACCTCCTAGAGTATAGACATACCCTGTAGTGCTCCTTCTGATGTCAACATTTCCGGCTAAGTCAGCATCTACATAGCCTGTTAGTATCGTATTTCCACCTTTGAAACAAAGTGCTTTGTTTGTGGTACCCCACAGATATATGAGGATCCATTTGACTACTTCCAGTGTACTTTGCCCGGATTATTCATGTACCTGCTAACAGCTCCCACTGCATGAGCAATATCTGGTCTGGTACAAACCATGGCATATATCAGACTTCCAATTGCTGAGGCATACAACACCTTCACCATGTGTGCACGTTCTTCCTCCTTCTTTGGTGATTGGTCTTTGGATAGTCTGAAATGAACACCTAAAGGTGTACTTACTGGTTTAGCATCTTGCATGTTGAACCTGGAGAGTACTTTGTTGATGTACTCAACCTATGATAACATCAAAGTCCCCGACTTTGTGTCTCTTTTGATCCTCATCCCAAGAATCTGCTTTGCAACGCCCAGATCTTTCATAGCAAACTGCTTCGACAATTTTTGCTTCAAGTTTATAATATCTTGCATATCTGAGCCTGCAACGAGCATGTCATCAACGTACAATAATAAAATAATGAAGCTGTTGTCGAACCTCTTGATGTAGCAACAATGATATGCTTGCCATCTGGTAAAACCATTGCTACCCATGAAGCTATCGAACTTCTTGTACCACTGTCTAGGAGCTTGTTTTAAACCATACAAGCTCTTCTTCAACTTGCATACCAGGTTTTTGTTTCCTGCCTCTATTAAGCCTTCTGGCTGCCTCATATAGATTTCTTCCTCCAAATCACCATGAAGGAAAGTTGTCTTTACATCTAACTGCTCAAGATGTAAATTTTCTGCAGCTACAATTTTCAACACAGTCTGATTATAGATAGTTTTACAACTTGAGAGAAAATTTCATTGTAGTCAATACCTTCCTTTTGCTGAAAACCTTTGACAACCAATCTTGCTTTGTAGCGTTTGCTCCCATCGTGCTCTTCTTTGATCCTGTAAATCCACTTGTTATGGAGCGCTTTCTTGCCTGGTGGTAATTCAGCTAATTCCCACGTCTGATTTGACATAAGCGAGTCCATCTCATCTTTCATGGAAGACTCCCACTTGACTGAATCCTCCACTTGCATTGCTTCATCATAGCACTTTGGTTCACCATTGTCAGTCAGCAACAAGTAGTGCAAAGAAGGAGAATACCGTTGGGTTGGTTTAGGAATTCTGGAGGAGCGTCTCAGTTCTGGTGTGCCTGGTTCTTCCTCTTAAACTGCTTCAGGACTGATCTGAACATCATTTCCAGAAATCTCCTCGAACTCAGCAAATTCCTTTG